TGTTTTGGGTATGTAAACCTTACCTACCTGCTAAGATGCATGGTATTTAGAGGGTTTGCCTGGTGATATGAAGGGGTCCAGAACCATACATTGGTGCTGTATATCCGCCAGCAGGGATCACATTTCCTATTCTTTGGTATCCCCTAGAGGGCATAGGACAGTGTGGGGGGGGTATGAGATAAGTACCACATGTTACCTGATAGAAGGATTGATGACTGGTCAAATCATTAGGAAGAGGAAGAGCAAGAACCAGAAGGAAGTCCTGACAGCCCTGACTAAGGAGAATTGATCTAGAAGTCAGAAATCAGAGGAGACACAGATTTTGCTTCTAGCTTTGCCTTTTAAATATGCTATGTGCCCTGGGGCAGGTCATGTGACTTTTTCATCATCAGGCAAAGGTGATAGCTACAGTCTTCTGCAGTATGATCCTTCAGGGCATGTGCCACCCTGCATGTGCAGGAGCTAGTCTGAAACCTTTGGCTTGCCCCAAATGATTACTTTAAGAGTAGCTTTAAGAGTAGCAAGAGTTCATTGCTTCTCTGTGGATTCAGAGGAGGCAGTATAGATTGCCAAGGAGGTATATACAAGCTTCAGAGTCATGCCTGGGACCAAACGCTCACTTTGTCTGTCACTTTGGGCAAATTAATCTACCTGAGCCTCAGATTTCACATCAATAAAATGTGGGTAACAATTCTTGCCTCATAAGCTGACAGCAAAGTGCGTGGTACAGTGCCTAGCACAGTGCACACAGTAACTATGAGCTCTTATTTGGGTCTCAGCGCATCTCTACCTTCTTAAGGTAGAGTAGAAAGTGCAAGGCATTACAAATGGAGAGTTTCCAGAGCTGTCTGCCTAGCAGGTGAATTTCCTTCTAATTCTCCATAATATGGAAGTGCTGCTGACAAGGGCAGTGTGTTGGAATGCATGGAATTTTTGGAACCTTCTCAGTAGGAATGTGTGACAGACAGGAACCTGTTAGGGGTATTAAGAATTGACCCCCCCGGCTCGGCGCCTATAGCTCAACCGGCTAAGGCGCCAGCCACGTACACCTAAGGTGGCGGGTTCGAATCCCCAGCCCGGACCCGCCAAAC